ATTTTGCCAAAGATGGAAACATCAGTCTCTTTCAGTCTCGGAAAAGGCAGAAGTTGTCAATCTAAAGAACATACAGATCGTCCACAGATAGTGAGTTTATTCAGGAAGTGATTTTGTTCAGGAACAGCACTGCAATGTGTATTCAAGGAGGTTGAGGCAAGAGTAGGGTTTTAAAGGCAAAATGGGGAGGATTACTAAAGTTTGTTTATTTTGTTTTTTAATAACAGCCACTGGCTATAAAGGTCAATAGCAAGGATGACACCCGTCTGAGGTTGGACAGGTGGTTGTTGGGTAGATGTTACAGAAGTGATTTTGTGAGCTTACAGTGGCTTCTGCCCAAGGTTGTGGTCCTGGCAGTCTTTTGTGAAACTTCTTGTCCTTGGGCACAGGTGCATGAGATTCCCCCAACTTCACGACATTTTGGCCTTATTTATTTAGTTGGGTAAGCTTGACATAAGTGACTCCATTTTCATTTTGACAACTTTCAGGGGCGTAAGAAAATTTTATACATATAAAAAAATTTAAATAACATTATATCATACAGCATAACATAGCATTACATAATAAATCATTTTCAAATTACAGTTTATAATTTGCTGTGTCCCAAATTGCCTCCCCTTCTACCATTTAAGTCATAACATTGTTCAAGGTTCGTCTGAGGTCCCTGTGTCCTCTGAGAGGGCAATTCCTTTTTCCAGTGTGACAACCTTTGGTGCTTGATAGTTGAGACTGTATCATATATTTGTTGCCTTTACACACACACACACACACACACACACACACATTCGCAAGCATTATTTTTTATGTGCTTAATAAAAGCTTTTATTGAAAGTATTTTTTATAACTCAGTACCAGTTTTATAAGAAGTTGCTATTTGGCAATTCTGAGCCACACTGAGAATTTCCCAGGGTTTTTTCAGTCTTGAGCCATATTATTGAGATAATAAAATAATTATAATAAGCCTTTAAGTGGCTACTCTTGCCAAGGGGGGATTGCTTGCTGAACTGACTATAAATAGGACAGCAAGAGACAGTAAATGGAGACTCTTGCTAGCAATTGTAGCACACACACCCACACTGGTGATAATTGGTTGCAGCCATTAAATTACCCCATCATATGATTAATGCAATTACCACTTATCACTATACTGCTAATTAACTAATCACTTAGAGCTAAACTTGAAAGCAAAGAAGTCACAAATTTATGAATATAGTAAACATTAATTTTATTTCATTTCATATTTCCATATACAACCTTTCTATGTTTTAAGAACTTAATCAAGGAAATTTTTATGGGGAATGTATTGAGGGTTTTCATTTGCTAGTTAGGAATTTTCTGCTGCCATGTACTTATTTTTTTAAATCTTACTCTTTTTAGTATTATGTGAAGTGTAGATAGTTAAATTGGTAAAGATTTGGATTTTGTGTAGTCATTGTAAGATTGACTTAGAAAATTTTTATAAACTATAGTTGGGGGGTATGGCTCAGAGGTAGAGTGCTTGCCTAGCATGTGCAAGGCCCTGTGTTCAGTCCTCAGTAACACACACATAAAATTTAAAAAAAAAAAAAATTTGTAGTTGTAGATGGAAAGAATACCTTTACTTTATCTGTTTTTTTTTTTTTAAATGTGGTGCTAAGGATTGAACCAGTGCCTCAAACATGCTAGGCAAGCACAGTGCCACTGATCTACAGCCCCAGCCCCCACAATACTTTTTAAACATACCAGTTCTGAATGTCTTCTTTGATTTATTTCTTTAAGGTCCTGTAATTTTCATTGTATAGATATTTCACCTCTTTCCTTAAGTAGATTCCCAAGTTTGGGGGCTGGGATGTGGCTCAAGCCGTATCGCGCTCGCCTGGCGTGCGTGCGGCCCGGGTTCGATCCTCAGCACCACATACAAACAAAGATGTTGTGTCCGCCGAAAACTAATAAATAAGTATTAAAAAAATTAAAAAAAAAAAAAAGATTCCCAAGTTTTTGTTTTTTTTTTTTTTTGTTTTGTTTTTGAGGCTATTGTAAATGGGATAGTTTTTCTCATGTCCTTCTCAGAGGATTTGTCACTGATATACAGAAATGCCTTTGATTTATGGGTGTTGATTTTATGTCCTGCTACTTTGCTGAATTCATTTACTAGTGCTAGAAGTTTTCTGGGGGAGCTTTTTAGGTCTTCGAGATACAGAATCATATCATCAGCAGATAGTGCTAATTCCTATATCCCTTTAATTTCTTTCATCTATCTAATTGCTCAGGCCACTGTTTCAAAAACTATGTTAAATAGAAGTGGTGAAAGAGGCCATCCCAATGTCATATGTGAGAATTTTAAAAATAGAAATGAAAAATTATTCTATAGTTCTTAACCTTATTTCTTTGCTTTTATCTTTTAGAATAAGTCACTGATAAATGTCTTGAAATTTGAATAAAGATTTTCCCATAGGTTTTTCTTAAAACTGATAAAGAACTTACAAATAGTTCTTATTCTTTGCATCAGTGTTTGCCTTTACCTCTGAAATAAGGCTTCTCACTTTTGATTAATTTGTGGTTTTAAAATATTTTATGACTAACTTCATTGAGATATAATGTACACGTAATAAAATGCTTCCATTTAAATCTATATGAAATTTGAATTTTTACACCCATGTCCCCACAACCAATATCAAGATAAGGAATGGTTCTGTACCCAGATAGTTCCTCTGCACCCCTTCCCAGAGAATTCTAGCCACCTTCACCTACTCCTAGGAAATTAATGATCTAATTTCAGCCACTGTACTATAGATTTATCTTCCCTAGTTTCATATAAGAGAAACAATACAGTATGTATTCCCCTCATCTAGCTTCCTCCTATCACCTACTTGGAATGTATCACTATCCAATCTTTTGTTTGTTTGTTTGTTTTTTGCTGTTGGTTTTCCATTGAATAGTCAGAATCTTATTTATCTACCAACCCATTAATAGTCTGATTTTTTTGTTGTAAAAATATTATCAATGCCTGTAAAACATGCTAGAACATAATGTTCATGTGTCTACCAACACCATTAACTAACAGTTAACCCTAACAGTTACTATTGCAGGTATTTTCACTTTTGTAAAATTTCCTACCAGCCTGATCTTTAAAAATAAGTGCAAAAATTCAGTTTGGGGGTCTGAAGGTATAGCACTTGCCCAGAGTGAATGAGGCCCTGGGTTCCCTCCCCAGCACAACCAAAAGGATTTTTTTTTTCACTTTTTATGTAAATCCATAAGAAATGTAATTGTTCTTTATAATGTGTATAATTTTCTTTAAAAACTACATTACTATTACAAGTTTGCTTTGTATATTTGAGTTGTCTAATTCTAAGATATATCTTTTTAGTTAGAATTTTTACAGTCTCTACTGTAGTGAATATTTTACAAAAAAAAAAAAAAAGCTTTTCTGCTGAAGTTTTCCTTGGAACAAATTTCTGGCCTTGATATTATTGGATATTACATAGAAGATTTCCTTTTCTTTCTTTCTTTTTTTTTTTTTTTTTTTACTTAGAAAGTAATGTAATTGAGTGGATAATAACCCTTAATTTCTAGCCTTTGAGTTACTTGAACCTGACTTTAAATCATGATTGCGTAACCAAGAAAGAGTTATTTAATGTCTATGAAACTTTGTTGTTTTTTCTCCAGATACTAAAATGATAAGATGGTGTGTGTGACCTGGCATGATACTACTACATAGTTGTGTTGTTTTCCAGAAAGATTACTAATTTAAAGTAGCAACAAGCAGTGTATAAATTTCCCTGTTCCACCAGTCTTTAAGTTGATAATTCAGAAATTTTTGCTAGTTTAATAGACGTGCCCTCAGATTTGCTTTAATTTGCACATATGTGATTTCAAGGAAGAGAAACATTCTCTGTGGGTTTGCATTTCCTCCCTAGAAGTGCCTGTTCTGTTTTTGTTGCTCACATGTCTTTCAGGAGAGTTTTTAATTATGTCTCCCTCTCCATTGTTTGTCTTCTCCTTCTGGCTTTATTACTTTTTCCCTTTAAAGAAATTAGACCATTCACATTTAAAAATCTCCAGTTGTTTCCTTTGCAGTTTCTATTGTCACAGTGGTACATGGTTCCATTCTTCCTGGTCTCCTGCTGGTCATTGTAAGGATCCCCTTCTCTGTACAGCTCCTTGTCATCAGTGTGTCAACAAGTCTGTCCTCAGGGTGTGTGTGGGGGGAGGGGGGATTCTTTTTAAAAGCCTTTTTCCTTAAAAGAATATGCTTCTAAATCACAAAAGAAAATGAATGAATCTTAGATTTGATTCAGAAAACACCTGGCTCAGTTGTTTAAATGCTTGTTCTAGTAACAAAAACCTAGAGGTGACTTTATTTTTCCCAAAACAGCATTACTTAACTTCCACTTACTATCCTGAGGCCAAGACACAGTCATAAACATTCTTTGGAGAAATTAAAAATAGAGATATCAGGACTGTCCAGGAAAAATAGATCCTCATCTATTCAAATTTCCCTTCAGTGTCTGTTGTATAAAAGAAAGAAAAGAGTGTCCCATCAATGGAGTTCCTGAGTAAGAATTTTATTCCATCTGTTTGGCCCCTGTGCTGTATAACCATCAGGCAGGGGCCTCAGTTTACCCTGAAGTCTCATCAGGTATGAGTCCCTCTAAATACCAGCACCACCCCACAAGTTTTATGTTAAGAAAACAGTTCCTTCTTCTTTGACATATCCTGTTACCATGGTCATTATCACTGTTATCACTCCCTCAAGTAATTTTTTTTGTAGAATAAATACAGGGCTTATGTGAAAGGTATTTATTTTATTTCATTGATTGGGTAATCTCTGAGCTTTCCAAGTCCTTTCTTTATCCCTCTTCATTCACATGGGTCATTGAAAAGTGAGTCGTTACTATCTGTTACTTGTTTTCTTACCTTAAGAATAGCACCTCGTAATTTTATCGAGCCATGAATATTTGTTCGTTTCCTTCAATGTCAAGATCAACATAAAATTACCTGTGTCTGTGTCCTTGCAGACGGCAATGGAAGTGATGCAGTTCAGCAGGGAGGAGGTGCGGGAGGTGCTGAGGCTGCTGGCTGGAATCCTGCATCTCGGGAACATTGAGTTCATCACTGCTGGTGGGGCGCAGGTGTCCTTCAAAACAGGTGAGAGGCTGCACCTGCCTTCAGCCTTCCTCCCTTCCTTGGAGTCTTCCTCTTGCAATTTAAACCTAGAAATTAACTGACTGACCTTTTACAGAAAGAGGTTTTCTGGCCCCTGCAGTAGAGAACTAGGGAAGTTTTTATTCTCTCTCTTTTTGGTGCTGGGATTGAACCCAGTGTCTTGGACATGCTGGGTGCACTTTCTGCCACCCAGTGCCCCCCAACCCCCAGCTGAAGAGCTATAGAATTTTAGCTGTATCTGATGTGAAATGTCAGCTCGTAAAGGGCCAGGGCATATGATCGTTACTACTGAAAGGGGATGGTGTCTTTGTTCTCCTTACTAAGAAAAAAGGAAAATGGGCCAAATAAGTGGAAATAGGAACAAGGAGGACTTGATGTAGGGAAAATATTAAGTCAGGTGGACTTGAGCTTTGCCCTGGTTTTTAGTGTAGCAGTTAAGAGCTTTAGATTTCCAAGCCAAAATGCTGGGTTCAGATCCCAGGTCTGCCACAAGCTGTGGCCTGTGTTGTTAATCCCCTAACCCTGGTGCCTGCTCAGCAGGACCTCGGAGATCTTTGTCAAGATAAAATGAGTGAATATACATAGAGCTTTCATTTTTCTGGAGCGACTTATTTACCAGTGTTTTGAGTACTTTTCTGATAGAAGCAGTAGGTGAGGTGCTAGAAGCTGGGAACTGGAGGAGTTCGGGGTCTGTAGAGGAGATGGTCTGTAGGCCAGTACTTCTCAAATGTTTGATCCCACCCAGCGCTCCTCAGTATCCTCAAATCATTGAACATGGGAGTACTTTTTTGATGTGGGTTAAATGTGTTTAAATGTTAGAAATTAGAACAGAGGCATTTAAAAGATTTATTAATTCATTTAATCATAAAAATAACAGACCCACATCATATTAAAATAAATATTTTTTATTTAAAAAACTGTTTTCCCAAACAGAAAAACACTGTTGTGAGAACAGTTACATTGTATTACCATTTCTGCCAAATGGATCCAGAAATGTTTTGCTTTGTAGTGTTTCTGTGTAGTTAGCTCTGAACCTATTTGAGGTCCGGTGGCTGGTTTCTTTTAGGAGACTGTGGGTGTACTTAGGCCTTACACTTTGCTTTTAGCTCTGGGCAGGTCTGCAGAGTTACTTGGGCTGGACCCAACGCAGCTCACCGATGCCCTGACCCAGAGATCGATGTTCCTCAGGGGAGAAGAGATCCTCACGCCTCTCAATGTTCAACAGGTACCCACACTTTGTCCGCAACGCCTGTCTTAAAATACACCCCTGGGATTTCAGATCTGTGACTTTGATTCACACAAGTGACTGACATTGAGCTGTTTAAATGACTTTGGCTCATGGTCCACATGTAGAAGATATCCAAGTTTTGGGAATAGACAAAGATGTTGAATTAATTCCTGAGAGACAGTATAGCATAGTGTTTACAAGGACAGGTCTAATACAAAGCCCCTGAGTTTGAGACTTTGTCCTTACACTTACTAATGTCCATTCTTGGAAAATATATTTACTGTGCCTCGATATCCTCCTCTGTAAGTCAACGGTAATTATCACACCTAATTCATAGGATTCTTACAAGGGTAAAAATAACAAATATATGGTAAGTTATGCCTCCTTCAGAATAAACGCTACATAAACATTAGCCATAATAATGTGTTATTGTTGTTGTTCTTATACATGAAGTCAGTGCAACAGCATGTTTCTTGTTGCTTCTGCTGCTGCCTTGAGCCAATTTGTATGCACTAGCCCTTCTGATATGTTTTTTAATTGGATGAGTAAAAATGTTAACCATATCATGAAGAAAAACTTCATGTGTACAAAGTAGAAGTGGAGGAGAAGATGAAAATTCTAAAACTCAGGTCTTAATCAGTGTTTTAAACCTGACAAAATGTGTACTCATATATGTAGACTCAGGTTCTTTCATATAACTGAACATATAAAGTTGAGCTTAGAACCCTGATACTTCAAGGGGCTCTTGGAGACTCTTACTGGAAAGTCAGTCAGTGAGTTTATGCTTTCTCTAGATATCTGTGCTTTCCTGCACAATGTGGATTTACTTAACACTGGGAGCCTAGGTTCTTCCTCAGAGCAGGTGTGGGCAGTTGGGGCTATTAGCATGTCCTGTCCCCTAGGCAGTGGACAGCAGAGACTCCCTGGCCATGGCACTTTATGCACGCTGCTTCGAGTGGGTGATCAAGAAGATCAACAGCAGGATCAAGGGCAAAGATGACTTCAAATCTATTGGCATCCTTGACATCTTTGGATTTGAAAACTTTGAGGTAGGCTTCCAAAGAGTGGGACACATGAAGTCTGTTCTGTTTTTTGAGCAGCTATGAAGCATATCTCTTGAAACAGACATGGATATGTTTCTCTGTCAATTTTTTTTTTCCTTTTCTCCACTTTTATATGTAGTGGTGAGGGAACTAAAGATTTTTGTTGACCATTTCCCTTCTCAGGTTAACCACTTTGAGCAATTCAATATCAACTATGCAAATGAGAAACTTCAGGAATACTTCAACAAGCATATTTTTTCTTTAGAACAATTAGAATATAGCAGGTAAGCACTTGCAGACTTCCATTTCAATTATTTTTTTTTAAATCCACCAAATCAGATAGTTTAAAGCTGTATTTTAATTTCACTTGTCCTTCTTCATCTCTCTACAGAGAGGGATTAGTGTGGGAAGATATCGACTGGATAGACAATGGAGAATGTCTGGACTTGATTGAGAAGGTAAGCAGTTGTTGAAGAATGGTAACAGTCCCAAGGGTGTCCAGCCGGGCTGATTCATATTTATGGGAACAAAATAACTTGCACGAACTCGTACATCAAAGATGTGAATGTTTAGAACACAATGGACCATTTGGAAGCATACATGTAAATGTGCGAGGTTGAATTTAAATACTTGGCTGCTTCAGACCCATTGTTTCATTGAACTCAGTGTTTTATAATCGACAATGTGTGAACTGGCTTCAATAGATCTTAGTGGCAGAGCCTTACCAGGCTAGTCCAGGAGTAGATTAGCCAGTTGCAAAAGACTGATTCCCCAAATTGCAGTGGCTTCCATTTTTTGAAAAATATTTATTGTAATTTAAATTAGTTGGTTTTCTTTATGGCATAACATTATAAATTTTTCAGTCCAAGAAGTTACATGCTTTTTCTTTTGACCAGTGGCTTGATAGAGAACAGAAAGAAGCTCTAAAGTAGTTGGAAAGGTAAACATTTCAACATTTGATTCATTCATCCTTTTCTTTTCCACCTGTAGAAGCTTGGCCTCCTCGCCCTCATCAATGAAGAGAGCCATTTTCCTCAAGCCACAGACAGCACCTTACTGGAGAAACTGCACAATCAGCATGCTGTATGTCAACCCTGCTGGCTCTTTATTTCCGAATTGCTTTTCTGCTCATGAAGATAATGCACAGATGTGTCTTGGCCCAACTTTGCTACCCACATTTAATTATTTCTTTTCAAATGAGAGCTTTCTTCCTCTGATTCTAAATTGAATGTTAGATTTGGGACTACTTGTTAGAATATGCCAAAGTTCATTGTATGGGTGGAAAATGGAAGCATTCTGACCTACTGTACTGACACAGCAGAGAGGTAGATGGTTCCAGTGCATCTTCTACTGTGTCTTAAACTGACGGTGCATAACAGGCACTGCAGTTCACTGCCCACTGTGTATGGTTTTCTCTAGAAGTTCAAGGAAATCAGTGAGTGAATTAAGGCATTTGTATCTTTTTTCTTTTTTTCTTATTAGAATAACCACTTTTATGTGAAGCCCAGAGTTGCAGTCAACAATTTTGGGGTGAAACACTACGCTGGAGAGGTAACTTCTTATTGAGATAACTTAATATATTTGTGCATTTGGTATTAAGAGAAAGTAGTAGTTTCAGAAAACAGTCACAAATTTATTGAAATAATTTTGTTTTAATGAGTCTAGCTTTTAAAAGAGTTGTTTCTAGCCAGGTGTAGTGGCTCATGCCTGTAATCCCAGTGACTTGGGAGGCTGAGGCAGGAGGATCACAAGTTCAAAGCTAGCCTCAGCAATTTAGTGAGACCCTGATTCAAAATTTAAACTAAATGGTCTGGGAATGTGGCTCAGTAGTTAAGCACCCCTAGGATCAATCCCTGGTACTAAAAATAAAATGAAATAAATAAATAGGTAGGTAGGTAGATATTTAGATAGATAAATAAGTTGCTTCTCACTTGAAACATTTCTGTTGACCAATTTGTCCTTCTCTCTTATTTTTTTTGTGGTAATAGGGATGAAACCCGAGGCCTTACGCATGCTAGGCAAATGCTCTAATACTGAGTCACATTCCCAGCCTCTCTCTTTTATTTTTTTAAGTGAATTTTTAATTTATTTTTTCTGTTTGTTTGTTTATGTGATTTATGTGATCGAACCTAGTGCCTCACATGTATTAGGCAAGTGCTTTACCACTGAGCCACAACCCCAGTCGCTCTCTTATTTTTTTTAAAACTAGGTTCAGTATGATGTCCGAGGCATCTTGGAGAAAAACAGAGACACATTTCGAGACGACCTTCTCAACTTGCTAAGAGAAAGCCGGTATGTGGGTCTCCTCTATGAAGTCATTAGCAAGCAAATTAAAATTTGTGCAAATGCACTTATTCATGTATACAGAACAAATTACTACTGTGGAAACCCTTGACATTATATCTTCTTTTCCAGACAGTATTTCATCAATACAATGACACAGAGATATATAATAATAGCAGTGACTATCATTTAATGAGATGTCAAAATAATAGCAAATCCATGAGTTAGGTACTCTGATTGATCTCCTTATGTAAATGAGAAAACTGAGGCATGGAGTGGTTAAGTGACTTGCCTAAGACCTCTCGACTGGTGACCAGTGAGCTGTAGAGCTTTGTTTAGCTAAGAAACTTGAGACCCTTAACCAGTCAGACCGCCTTTCTTCACTGCCAGCTTGGAGCAGAGTGTTCATTTCAGGCTTGGTATTGTAGGATCCAGGTGTCTCTTGTTAGTCCAGGGGTGACAAGAAGATTAACCTGTTGTTAGCTCAAGTAAAGTTCTACATTTATTACACTTTCATTTACTAACTCATGAATTATAAATTCACACCATTAATTCAGTAGCTAAGGAAAACATACAGAAACTTTTAATGGTTTGTTTAGCTACTTGTAAGTATTAAACTGGGAAGCTTCCTATTGTTGGGAGGCTTTGTTGATGGGCGAGTGTTTGGGGGAAAGCCCTGGCCTGAAAGCTTTTTATACTGCATGGATCTATAACAAATAAATTATTTTTTTTTTAAGCCATTGAAATTGTCCCACATCCCTTCAATTTTTTTTTCCACACAGAAATACATTTTTGATATCTAAGGAAGGAAGTAGCACAATTGTTAAAAAGCTATAATTCTTTTCAAAATGTAAATACCAGGTGGCCATCCTGTCACTTAGCTAGTGGCTGTGAATTGGGGTGAAGGGGAACCCGGCTAAGCTATTAGCTGAGAGCTTAGAATTTGAAGTTTTTGATCTTTATACTTGTTTTAACTGATCCTCTGAAAATTTTACTATTGATAATTTCAACAGCTATTTTCATTTTAAGATGAGTTTTCATACCCATTAAAAATGCTTTAAAATACCATAGCATGTTATCTGTCAAAGCAGTTTGAAAAGATTTAAAATGATACATTTAAATAAAAGCTGCATATGGGTTTTAAATAAAAGCAGTTTGTTGTAGTGGAAAGATCACAGGCCTGGAACATCTGGATGGGGCCTAGCGGGTCGCCTCTCTGCTAGTGTTGGGCGGTTTTGTGATGGGGTAAGGAACTTGCTGTTTCAGCCACACACCTCTGCAAGCTGAGGGCTTGAGCTGTTGGCTCTCTCTACCCTTTCACCTCTGACATCTTTGACCTCTTAATAGAAACCAAGCTTTTCTCCAAGAGGTCGACTGCACAGTTGGAGATCTTAAAAGAGTGAGCCTTGCACAGCCTCCCGGAACAAACGCGAAAAAGTGCTGCAGCAGAGCAAGAAGCACTAACATTGCCACCTTGGGGATACGGACTCCTAGATGTCCTCCCTGCCTTTCCTGGTGATAGTGAAGCCACCAAACTCCCCATTATATCCCGTATCTTCCATGCAAGGAGGATGGAAAATATGGGGAAACATTTTTTGTTTAATTTTATTAATAGTGGCAGTGGAATTTATAGAACTTCTTAATAGTAATGACAATGACAGTTAACATCAGTACTTATCTTGTGCCAGGGACCATGCTCTCAACCTTTTGCATTTCATCCTTGCCTCAGCATTAGGAGACAGTTTTAAAATGATCGCCATTTTTCAGATAAAAAATCTGAGACCAATACTGGGGGGCCAGGGGTGATTCACCCTCGTAGCATAGCTAGCAAGTGATGGAGGCGGAATTTGAACTTTAGTCTGCCTCAGTCCAGATTTAGTGTTCCTCATTAGCACCTTCCCATAAGTTAACTGGTAGGGTCTTCACAACACTGTAAGAGCAAAACAAATGTAGTTGGCTCTGCATTTCTGTGGTTCTGCTTCCATGGATTGAACCAACCTTGGATTAAAAAAAATAATGCATCTGTGCTGAACACGTATGGACTTTTTTTTGTTATCACCTAAACAGTATATTTTAACAATGGCATATACACCATATTAGGCACTATAAGTCATCTGGAGATGATTTTAGGTATATGGGAGAATGACGTGAGGGACCTGAACATCTTGGATTCTGCTGTCCACTGGGGGTCCTGGAAGCAATCCCCTGTGGATCCCAAGGGCTGGGTCTGTCACCCTACAGGTCAGGAAACCCAGGTGACAGGGCTCAGGTGCTGCTCTGGAAAGCACAACACTCCTGAGTGGGAGGCCAGCCAAGTCACTGTCCCTCCAGTCCACTTCTCTGCGATGTCTGCTGCTCTGAAGGCTGGTATAGTTTTTCAGTGCCTGAAGGTCGCGGCAATAGTTAGTTTAAAGTCCTTGGAAGCTGTCTTAGCTCTTAGGCCTCAGAGTGCCCCTTTCAGTTATCAGTGGGAAAGTGTACCATAATTATAGTAATCGGACGGCTAATAATTGGGGGGGTGTGTGCCTCACAATCCTGCTCTTCCCTCACCCAGGTTCGACTTCATCTATGACCTCTTTGAACACGTCTCAAGCCGCAACAATCAGGACACCTTGAAATGTGGAAGCAAACACCGGCGGCCCACAGTCAGCTCACAGTTCAAGGTTAGTCTCCACTGGGGCTCACGTGAGTTATTGTTACTATGATTTTTAAGAACCCAAAAGAGGATTTAGGTATAGTAAGGACTATGGGAATGTTTGATTTTGTTTTCTTTTATATCATGCTTTTCAAATAGTCAGTCCTTTAGAAATATACACTGTTTGGGTTGGGGTGTAACTCGGTGATAGAGTGTGTGCCTCACATGCATGGATACATGGGTTCAATCCCTAGGACTTCCCCCTAAAACGTGTGTGTGTGTATACATGTATATAATATATAGTATACATTTATGCATATGTTTTTTTGTGTGTATATATGTATGTATGTATATAAACATATATAAAATATATACATTTTTTGAAGCAGATGAAAACATGGTTTTTAAAAATTATTATTAAATAAAGGAGAACTGTTTAAGCCCCAGCTTTTGAAATAACAGATCTCCTTAAGAAGGTCTGTTTTAGTTGTAGCTAGGCACAGTGGTGCACACCTATAATCCCAGTGACTCCAGAAGCTGAGGCAGGAGGATCACAAGTTTGAGGCCAGCCTGGGCAACTTGTCTCAAAATAAAGAATAAATAAAAAGGTTGAGGGTGTCACTCAGCAGTGATGTGCTCCTGGATTTTAATTTTTAGAACCAAAAAAAAAAAAGAAAAAATGAAGTTCTGTTTTGCCATCTTATTTGTGTTTAGAAGCTCATGTAAAAATAGGTGGTTTTTCTTCCCATATCTGAATGTCTATATTTTTCCCAGGTATGTTTGCAATATCACAACTAGATATAGTGACTAAGTTCAGATTTAAATAAGATTAATTTCAGTTACTTTGTCCAGGTATCTGGAATTCAAGGAAAATGATTCTTATTTGCATTTTAAATGTGAAAGCATTTTATCTACCTTAAAAGGTAGAGTATAATGAAGATATTGCCCTCAAATGGAAATCCCAGCATGAAGAGAAGTGGAGTCAGTTCTTCAGCTGACACTAAACTCCCTGTGAGGCTGGCCTCCCTTTGGCCTCTCACACAGGGATGCTCGGGGCTCACTGTGTGCAGCCTGCTGTACACTGTAGGTGGAGATGAGCTGCCACACTGGCATGCAAACAGCATGGGTGGTACAGCAGTAAGGTTAGGTGTTTTCCAGATTAGATATAATGTAATAAACACAATATTCATGTAACATAAGATATAATGACAGCAGCTACGTATACTGTACTGCACATTGGGATAATTAGTTTATATTCGTTGTCTGGGTCACTGCTCCTGTAACCCCATGTGTGCATGTTATTGTCTCCATTTTACAAATGAGGAGACCCACTCAGGCCCTCAGAGGAGTGACGGTGGGATTTGAGTTGGACCTCAGTGTGTCTGACTGTACAGCTTCGGCTCTTAATCTTCCAGTAGAATTGCTTTCTTTTTCTAGGGTGCCCTATCCATTTGCCTGGAGTGTCTTAAAAGGCTTTTTGAACATTTGGGACTTGAATTGGGTGAGGAATGAAGGAAAAGGGTGGGTGGCCTTCCTGGTGGAGACCAGAACAGGAGAAGAGTCCAGAATCCGGGAGTAAGTCTTCCCTCTAAGGCTCTCTGTAGACAAGGGCCTGTGGCAGTGCACCTAAACACCAGAGTATGAACAGCCAAGAATACCAGGGTGCTTTGTTCTCTTAGAGATCCTAAAGCTTTCTGAGCAGAAAAGTACCTGATCAAGGTGTCATGGACAACCTGGTTTTCTTCTACAGCAAAATTGTAAGAAAAAAAGAGAGCTTGAGGGAAAACCAATGAATTAAAAAGAGAAATAAAAGATACATTAACTATGGTGCATGAACCATTTCATTCTGATGCAAAAAAAAGGAAAAGAAGTTTTTAAAATTATAAAATCTGAGACAGAACAAATTTTAAATGTGAAATGTTTAGCCATTGTACATTTTAATGTTTATTTAGATGTTAATATAAAGAATCTATATATCTTTTATGTGAAATAATATTTGACTGATGTCAAAAGTGTTCGGCCTTTAATAATACATACTGAAATATTGATGGGTGAAATAATGGAATGTTTGGGATTTGCTTTTCCACAAGGGGTACGCCTGGTGCGTATGGAGACAGAGACCAGATGAAATGAGATTAGCCTTGAGCTGCAGCTGGAGATGAGAGCTGGTGACCCATTGTGTCTGCTTTAGAAAATGTGAAAAATTCTCCATAATAAAACAACCTGGGAAAGTTTAGCAAGTAGAATTACAGATTGGTATAAAATCTAACTGGTGACTTAAAGGTGAGAGTAAGATATTGTGGCTCAAAGACCAGCCAAGTACTCTCCTAGGCTATTTTGATGGAAATAATGAGTTTATAGAAATAATTTCCATGGAAAATAGGTACCGCTCAGAATGGCTGTTTATTTGTGTGTGTGTGTGTGTGTACACACACACATTTTTTTGTGTGTGTAACAGAGACTGAACCAAGGGGCAATGAGCCACATCCCCAGACTCTTTTTTTTTTTTTTTTTTTTTTTGTACTTTATTTAGAGACAGGGTCCCTCAGTTATTCTGGGCCTCACTAAGTTGCTAAGGCTGCCTTTGAACTCTTAAGCCACTGGGATTACAGCCATGTACCACCCACCCAGCCAGAATAGTCTTTTTAAAAGGTTGTGCTTCAAAGGAAGTAATAAATACATTTCATATGTTATGGAATAATTCCAGTTATAATGAATTATAATATCTTTTGCCTTGTTTTACATTAAAATGATATAATTAGAAATGAAAATCTCTTAAGTTACTCCTATGATTTATATTGTTTTTTTTTGTTTGTTTGTTTGTTTTTAAGCCTTGTTTCCAATAAGTACCTAGGGTGTTGAGAAATGTAAAGTGGCCTAATAAGAGAACAAGTCAATAAATACCCTTTCCTTTCCTAGGACTCCCTGCATTCCTTGATGGCAACCCTGAGCTCCTCCAACCCCTTCTTCGTGCGTTGTATCAAGCCAAACATGCAGAAGGTAAGATTCATGAGTGCCAGGCTGAGTCTCTTCCTCAAGGACACAGCCTCCTGGGGTGCCTGCTCATAGATTTGGTTTCTCCCAAGTCCTTTCGTTACAAATGGTTGGAAATGAATATGACCTTCTCATAACCTGGCATTAAATGGAAAAACATTTCCTTTGTCCTCTGAGTCTGTTGGTCTGCTTTTGAATGATGACATGAGGCTTTCGGGAAGTCTATTTTAAAAGGAAATATTGTGAAGCCTTCACATTTTTCTTTAGCATTTGGATTGATATTCCTATATCCAGCTCAAAATGCAGTATACCTATTTTGAAAAAGTTCTTGGCGTGACTTTTGGTTGTGGTTGACTTGTTGTTGTTGTTGTTTTGTTTTATTGTCAAACATGATGAAGAAGCTATACTATAAGTAGTAATGCTGAATTTTAAGTTTAGTTAAATTAATTGATTGAAACCAATTTGAAGACATCGTATAAGTTGTTATAACATAAAGGCTCTTCTATTTTTAATGATGTAACTCAATTAGAAACAACCTGAGAGTAAAAAAGGAGGTTATCCTAAATTTAAAAAAAAAAGGGGGGGGCGGTATTAGAAACGTGCTGTTGCTAAATCCAAGGCTAAATGGGTACCTTGCCTTAGTTAATTTTGATTAGGCAGACAAGACTCTTAGAAACCTTTCTTGAGAGAGAAAAACACCCTCAAGATAGTCATGTCCAGAGGTTCCTCATATTAAAGAACTGCCATCTTCATGAGGATTAATGTTGCAAGGGGGCAAAATTGCAAAGTATGCAGTCAAGGGGAGAAATAAAGAATGTCCACATGCTTCTGCCCTTTTCAATGCTTTATTCATTCAAATTACTCAATACAATTTCACTCTATAGGTTCTTAATCAAGAAAATGACAATCCTTAGTGCTAGGCACTGCAATAGACGTAATCAATTCACAGCAAACAATTCTAGATTAATTAATTCTAAGCACTGTAAAACACACTTAATCATGACAGGCTAATGACAGACATTCCCTCTGCACGCTAAGTTCAAAAGTCTTAAGGTTTTATGTCCAGCAGATGCACACTCACTTAGACCGCGGTGACCAGGTCCGGAACCAAGGCAGGCTTTTCCTGGCATGGAGTGGACAACCGGTTGAGGAGAAGTTGCGGCTCTCACCAGGGTCCAGACGAGGCGGTAGAGTTTGAGAGCAGTGAGGATCATGCAGAAGATCAGGAAATGATGAAAAATGATGGGATGTCAGGTCCTCATCAGGCTCTCCAGCTTGAGAGCATCCTTGTTTCGGTTGGCTGAATTCCTGTTCATCAGCTCTATTATTTATACTAAATTTGGGGGCTTTTGACCCCCTCTTTCAGTCCTTATCAGCTACGACTGGATTTCTCCATGACATCATTTATCCTAGGATCAGAAACATCTAGTCTAGTAGTCTCCTCCCTGATCTTCTCGCCTTTTCCTCTTATCAGGTGAGGACAGCCTGCCAGGGGCTTCACTCTGTTGATCAAAGTGAGGGGAACTAACTTGTTTGAGGCCATACTGGAGGGCTCTGTGGATGTGCCTGTGAAATAGCAGGTTTAAAACTGGAGTTTTTAAAATGGAGTTGCTTAGGCTCAGGCCTAAGGCCATCTTCACATGGATGGGTTACAGGTGGGCATCCAAGGGAGGATGAGAACTCTGACCTGGACTTTCTCCCGTGGATGGGTTACAGGTGGGCATCTCTGTAGTAAACCCCCTCAGTCTGTTGCCTGTGAGGTGAGAGGGCAGGAACCTGGCCAGAGCAGTTTTATATACAAGATATGAAATGACTTAATGTATACCATTTTTGTAGTTTAAAAAAATAACACCTTTCCATTTTTCAAATTTATATTAAAATGTTTTAGGTCAAAGCACAAAAATGGTAATATAACAATACATAAGGTTTTTTTGGACACAGTGTTGGAAATTAATAGGTAGAACCTGTCTGTGTGTGACACTGTATCACGTACACTGGTTTATGTTCCTGTTGCTATACTGGGTGATCTTCAGCAGGCATGTGCACAAGGCAGTGTGGTCAGGCTTCATGATTCTAGCATATACCTCAGGTGCCACTTCATCTCTGCCAGTGTTCTTTCCTTGCTTTTCGGTGAGGTAGTAATACCATATTTCATCCTTCAAATGTACAAGTCTTTTTCTCAGTCTAAAGTCTTAGCTGCCAGGTTGCACATTACATTCCCTAGGGAGCCATGGTTTCGTGAGATGTTTTTTTCCTTTTTTCCTGTTATGACATATAATCTTGCAGTTTTACAGTCAGATTCAGTGAGACAGGAATATGTCCTGGCAGTGCTGTGTTGAGGATAGAAATTTCAGTTTGAAAACAAACTTGATCCTCAGTGGTTTGGGTTTCATTCTTAGATGGCATAGAATTATTTTTTTCCTTTAAATTGTAGAAGCTTTTGAAATTAGGCCTGCTTGAAAACACTTCAGCAGTCTAAATGTTGAAGAAATTACTTCTTTTTGATGTTTATTTTTCCACGCTGAGATTCAATTGTACCCAGTTGCTTTGGATTTTGCACTTTTAAAAACGAGCCAACTCAACCTCATGTTCCCATTTATACTGGCTCCTGGCCCTACTATCTCCTGACTTAGAGCACACACTAATTAATAACACACCAAGAGATGGGCTGTAAAAACTGTCTTACTGCCATTTGAAAGGCACCCAGAAAATGAAGGCCTAGGCACAAGAACTGACTTGTCTGAGATGTAGGTGTGATTTATAAGTGTCAAGATGCTAATGAGAATAGGGAAATACTAATTCGCATTCATTTGATGCCATTGAAAATATTGTTACTGATATTTATGTTCTATAAAACGTGTCTTGGAGTTTTTTGCCAATTTCTTTAGTCCAAAGATGAATTCTTTTAGAAAATTCCATAGGGAAAATCTTGCCTTCCCTGTGTGCAGCAATGGGGAATGTCCATTTCTGGCTATAGGGCGATGAGTCTCCTCTCACCTCACATCTTCCTGCATTTGGTTCATAGTGGGAGTCTGGGAAGTTGTATTTAACTCTGTGTGAATGTAGGTATTTTGTGTACTGTTCAGGAACAAGTGTTACGGGGATTTGGCAGATTCTAGAGGTTTTTATTTTGTTTTGTTTTGTTGAGATTCTGTGGCCAAAAAAGAGAGAAGAAAAACAACTCTAAACTCTGTCCTAAGAGCTGTAGAAAAAGAAGATGGCTACTTTTGTGCTTTTATGAGCAGGTAACATGTGCAGGATTCATACATTGGCCCACCGAGTGGGACCACATGGCCCAAGACCCATAGAACGGGCTGTTCTACTCTGTGGCAAGTGCTTGAACCCCCCCAGTGGGTATTTGGGCCTAAAGAATCTGGGAATCCTTCACGGGGTTTGGTTATTTGGTTTTATTGTTGGGTTTTTGTTTTCTCAGGTTTTTTAATTTAATTTAATTCTATTTTATTTTGGGGGGGTGTTTGTTTTGAAAAGCAGTAGAAGGAGGGAGACTGTAACTGAAATGCTGCAACACATGTTAACTCAACCGTTAACAACATGTGGCCTTGTCTTTATAAACAGCCTTTCACTAATCTTGGGCATTGTATCAAGGGCACCCACCGACACTCACTTCTTTGGGAAATCCTCTTGGCGCCAAGTTAGGAAGGGGATTAAAAAATACATCTGCTGACAGGAGGAAGTCTGCAGCCAGTCCTCGGGTTCCAGCACCTCTGGAGGATGAAATCTTCCATCGAGCTTAGAATCTGCTGCTCACAAAGGGCAGACTTCTCCATTAGGTGACTTCTGGTTGCTTTCTTTCAACCTTTACTGTGATTTGCTTAGGTAGTAGTAGAGGCTGCCCCAGAGTGCCCCAGCCGACCACAGGTTTCCAGATGAGAGCAAACCTGCTTGGCCTCCTCAGAATCTCTCCCCAAGGGCATCCCTGGTCTATGATCTCTCCCTGCCTGGTATTTTAGCAAATAAGTTCTAGTCAGAAAAGTCTCTCATTAACATTCCTCAGAAAAACCCTGAGGAGATTCAAGACAGAATTAAAGATGGGAACAGACTGATAAGCATCAGGGAGACCTGCCTGTGTGGGAACCAGTTGTCTGCAGTTCCAGGCAGAGTGTGAGGCCGGGGCCACTTGCTGCAGAGTTAGCTGGGGCTGCCTCTGCTCCCTTCTTTCTGTAGGTTAGGCTTGGTGCGACAGGGACTCCAGGAGGAAGCATCCTGGATTCCTTTTAACTTGACATAGCAATATCCTGACAGCTTCCATCAAGTCTCCTCGTGAAAGGGGCTTGGGTCACCTCAGTTTCCCCAGGGCTGGGATCTGGTGGAGGAAGGCATCCAGCAGAGGAGACCTCCTGGAATAAGGCTCTCTTCTGAGGGAAGAGTGAGGCAGAGATGCCCCCAGGGGAGGCTGCTGATCCGCTCCAGAGGAGGGCAGCCAGAGGTCTGGCAGGTGAACTATGGTGGTGTTTTCTGGAAAAGGAAACATTGAGAGAAAAGGAGCTGGACCAAGGTCTTGGGACTTCCTGTCTCCTGTCCTGAGATATGAGGACCATAACCCTCCCACAGAGATGACCTCAGTGTCAATGCCTTTTACCTAACAGAATCCTGCTGACTGATCTTTCATGATGCTTTTTTTTTGAGACAGGGTCTCACTGAGTTGCCCAGGCTGGCTTTGAATTTGTGATCCTCCTGCTTCAGCCTCCCGAGTTGCTGAGATTATATGTGTGCGCCACTGCGCAAGGCATGATGCTACTTTTTTTTTTAATATTTATTTTTCAGTTTTCTGTGGACACAACATCTTTATTTATTTATTTTTTTTCATTTTTATGTTGTGCTGAGGATCGAACCCAGCGCCCCGCGCATGCCAGGCGAGCGCATTACCACTTGAGCCACATCCCCAGCCCTGATGCTACTTTTTATGTCACACAAAGTCCTTCATTTTGATGCCTGGACAGCTCATGAGGACATGTGTAAAGTGACAGCCATGCAGATGTGGTGGA